CATACGGGGAGTACTGTGTCCAGCTCTGGGGCCCCCAACTTAAGGAGGACATGGACCTGTTGGAGCAAGTCTGGAGGAGGGCCACAAAGATGATCAGTGGGCTGGAGCACCTCTCCTATGAAGACAGGCTGAGAGTTGGGATTGTTCAGCCTGGAGAAGAGAAGGCTGCAGGGAGACCTTATTGCAGCCTTCCAGTACCTGAAGGGGGCCTACAAGAAAGCTGGAGAAGGAATTTTTACAAGGGAGCATAGTGATAGGACAAGGGGCAATGGCTTTAAACTGAAAGAGGGTAGATTTATATTAGATAGAAGGAAGAAATTCTTCACTGTGAGGGTGGTGAGGCACTGGAACAAGTTGCCTGGGATGCCCCATCCCTGGAAGTGTTCGAGGCCAGGTCGGATGGGGCTTTGAGCAACATGGTCGAGTGGAAGGTGTCCCTGCCCACGGCAGGGGGGTTGGAACTAGATGATCTTTAAAGTCCCTGCCAACCCAAACTGTTCTATGATATAGCAGGAAGGAGAATGAATATGTCCTGAAATCTTGTAGATATTAAATACATATTTCAAAACATGTATCTTAAAATCATATTTTGGGGATAAATCTGTTAAGACTAAGAGTAACCATCTGATGTATGTAAATGTATAAAGTTAAGATTAAATAAAGACTCTTTTTGACAGTCATCTTTTCTCTGGTAATACCTCCATATCCTTCTGGTAAGCCCTGGTAAGCTTCTGGATTTCATTTTCAGATTCTGTGGCACGTACTTTCTCCTTCTCCCAGCATTGCCGCACATCCTGTAGTTCCATTTTTAAAGCTCCTATTAAAGTCTCTCTGTCTGCACACTTAGTGTGCAGGTGATTTAACTCTTTATTGGCATCAGCCAGGTTATCCTGAGCTTCCTGTAGAACAGAGGCATGGAACAGAAAGGCTGGTAAGAATTTCACTCTATAAAATGTTACCTTAGTCCAGTGCTCAGCATCTGAGGAAGTAAACAGTCACATAGCCACATGTGTTCAGAAGACTCCAGGCTAAGCTGACTGTATCTTGTCAAGAACAGAATTTCAAAATTGACAATAGTCCTTCTCCACAGCTGGTAACTAAACAGCATCAGAAAGCTATCTCAGAGTTAAAAGCTCTATGATGCACAGACCTTCGGAATCTCCTCTACTCCCACACCTGAGATGCAGAACGTATGGATGCAAGTTACCCTCTGCGGAGTGGAGAGCTCTCACAGATAGTGAAAAGATACATTATTTTCGTAAGTAAATCTCTGATCCATTACAGCTGAGTGAGTAGGCAACAGACAGTGGTTGTTACCCACTGTATTCTTTATCTGCATGATAAAAAGCATGAGGACTCTCTTCGGAGGTTTAACCATGGGAAGAAACTAATAATCAGAAATGGTCATAAATGCAATCATTATGTTACCAGTACCAAATCTCACAAGGTAAACAAAGAACTTAATACACTACCCCTTTTCAGCTAAAAGATTGCCAAGATGGAGTGGACACATACACACACCTTCCTCTGCTACAACCACTGGACTTCCAGCACTGCTAAAGTTTACTGAAAGTCAAACTGAAAGCATTGTTTTTCATAAAATCACAGCTGCTTATATAGAAAATATAATAGGAAAGATACTCCCAAATTCATCAGACAATGCCAACTTTTATTCTTCTTAATGAAAATACTAAAAGATTAAAGCAATGTTAAATTTCTGACACAAATGTTTTCAGACTGGATCTAGTTTTCACTCATATGTACAATTTTATTACCAAAAATTTAAAGAGATCAGAAACTGGTGTACTGCACAAAAACCAGTACCGTGTGTGTGTAGCAAACTCAGTTTTTGCACAAAGAATACAAGTATCTGTTGCAATGGGTTGCAAAATTTTTAGGTGCCTTACAAAGGTGCTGCAACAGAAGCATAAGTCTTAAGTCTTCTGAAAATAAATTAGTAAAGAAAGTTCAGATCAGATGACAGGAGATCATGTGCAAGTATCAATTAATATGAAGATTCAATGAGTGCTGCAGAAGTATCTGTGACTAAACTGAAGTGATAAAGCAGCATATCCCCAGCAAAAGAATCTGAGAAACACTGGGAGTAGAGACATTCTATTTTGGCAATAATATAATACACTGCCAGTTGGGAGATTAAGTTTAACCATGACCTCAGGACTTCCTCACTCCCTTGGCCACTGAGGTAACCAGACAGGACATTACAAAAGTGGTGTGTCAGCCAAAAACAGAGACAAAAAAATTCTTGTTCAGAAACTAAAGAAGAGACTTCTCAAGTGTTTTTATCAGTTCCTAGGTAGATTTTACTCAGAGATTTTGGGCTGCAAATTGTACAACTGTTAAGGATGACCTGATCCTTCATACATGCATTAACTTGTCTGATAAACACAAACACACACAAAAAAAAAAAACAACAAAGGACAGCTTTAATAGAATGTGCTTTCATATGAACAGAGTTAATTAAATTCTCATTTTTTTGAGAAAAAGTTAAGAAAAAAATTACTGATGCTGATTTTAATATAAAACAATACTTTGCAAATTGATAAATCTATTTCAAATTATTTCAGAAATGCAATCATTGAAATGATCAGTTCTGTAGTCTAAGGTGGTAACCAGAATAAAGCAGCATGCAAGGCAAATTAGTCTGCTTAACAGAATACAATGATACAGAGACTTATCCTGATAAGAAAAAAAAAAAGATACCATAAATCTAGAAAGATACTTTTACAGAACTTTTAAATTCTATGTTAAGTTCATGAAACCATACCTTAAGGTCTTGACTTAAAGCACAGATTTTCCCTTTGGATATCTCAAGTTCTTTTGTCATCTTTTCACACAAAGCCTTCATTTTCCCAAGCTGTGAAAAATGCAGAGGTCAAACAGGCTTTTATAGAAAGGCTACATAATCACTTGAATATAAAGGGAAAATTTTGTATATAAATGTAAAACAAACCCATTGTTTTCAATTCCTTTGACAATATTTATACTTCATAAAATCTACATAACATGCCACTACAAAAGCACTAAACTCTTTTATAATAATTTAAGATAAATAGCAGTGGCAGAATCCCAAACTGAGTCCACTGTTAACTTTCCCATCAACTCTCAAAAGATCTGAGAAAAACACAGACTTTGAAATGCATTTGAAAATGTAATAAATTTAGATTATGATCTGGGGAGTGGTTTGAGAAAACAAGTTTTCAAAGTCAGTGGCCATTTGCAGAAATTGTCCAGCTACGAGAGTGGTCTCTATTTTTTACTGAGCACCGGATAGTACTCGCATACCCATAAAAAGCAGCAACGTTTCTGAGGCACAGTGACTACTGAACTGTTTGTGGTGTTACAAGCAACCACCTTAGAGGTAGCTCATGACCATAACACATACTAGCTTCACTTTCCACTTTCAAAAAAGATAATAACACATCATAATAATCTGTATCTTTAGTTACCTGATGATGAGGTTAGCAATACAAATGTCTGAAAGCATCGAACAGAGATGTATTATAGTGCAGGTTACTGCCAGCACTTGAGCATTAAGGAGCAACTCAGAAGTAAAATATCCCATTTACAAAATTTACAAATTACTTTGGAAATTATATTTTGTTTGGTCTCAAATCAGGAGACCTGGCAGAACCCTTAGAAATAATTACAGTAAATTACAGAATGCTACTGGAATATTTCCAGTCTTTTTGTTGGTTTACTAGCCTTCTCTCTCTCCTCAAACATATTCTAGCCTCTGCACTACACAGAAAGTCAAGCACTTGTTATCTGTCAAAAACAAAAGACTTATACACCTTTCAGTAACACAAATGAACTAGATCATTTAATCTAATGTTTAATGTGTAACTTAGAGGTGACACATGACAAGTTTACCAGCATATTTCACATATACATACAGGTGTACACTTACATTAATAACTTCATCAATATGTGGGGTCTTGTTGAAAATCTCTCTATAAAAAGAACCGCTACATAATTACTCAAAACTAAACCCTTACTGCTGTGTATTAAAATATCCTGTTTTTATTGCACAGTGCCCTTCATAGTCCCTTTGTGCATTATTGTATTATTAAAAAGTTTTATTACTAAACGTATCTACTATATAAAAAGCCAAAAGCAGTGTTATCTATGGGGGTGGGGGTAATCAAGAAGGACAGAGCACTGCCCTTTCTGTGCACCATGAAGGTGCCCGGTGATCTCTGGCTCCATATGACAACTTCAGGGTCAGTCACACACAGTCCTACTGGGAAGTCTTGTGGCAGGTCATCAGTTGGTCCTGCTCTGCTTGCGATTTATTTTCCTTGACAGTTCATTCTTCTTTCTGTCAGAATACTCTCTTTGCTTTCTTAGCAGCCACCCCCTTGGTCTCCCCACTGCTGTCTCTGGCACAGTTTCACAACAAAGCACATCACTAAGCCAAAGCCTGCTGAGTCGACTTTTCAACTGTGCTGCCTATCACGTGACATTCCTCCTCCCAAATAACAATTCGCTGTGGGTAATATGTTCCTAGTTACTCTGCAGCTTCCAGACTTGGGTCTCAGAAGAGTTTCATAATGACTATACACATCGGTTCTCTTATCTCACTGGGAGAGACCTAACAGTGCTTGCTGTTTACAAAAGTATAATTGTCTCCATGGTCACTTATTTTTGTGCCCGTTGAACAAACTCAAAGGTCTTGCAGGAGACTATTCTTTTCCAATAAAAGGGGCACAGCCAATACACTTTTCTTTTGTGTTTTTTTTGTTTTTGTTTTTAAGCATTGTGAGTGACTAGCTAGCCTACGCATTTGTCAAAAGACAAAACCTAGAAATGAAAAAACAGTACTGGCATTTTTACAATATTACCACACCTTGCCTTTCTGTATTTGCCAATTTTATCCAAAGATAAGCTAACTACAAGTTTGTACAGAAAGCTCTAACAGTGCAGTTAACTCCTCTCTACAGCTTTTAAAGCCACAAATTGATAAAACATTTACACCCAAGAGGATTAATTTAATCACATTAGCAATACAAATAAGAAAATAAATGCAAGATTGTGACTTTTCTGTCAGTGAAATAAAAGACCAGTAGGACTGCATGGAAAACATTTTATTTTTTTCAAGGGTAAGACTTCCAAGATTTAAATATTTCCATCATTGTCTTAGATAACTTAAAGTATTGTCACGGTCTTATTTTACTTGAAAAGACCTCAAAATAGCACCAGAAGAGATTTCATCATAAACACACTCATCTCAGAAAATTATGCCACTTTTTAAATGCACATAACTGATACCAATGACTGTTGAGGCTCAATATTTAGGATTATTGCAGTATACACTGCCCAACTCTTAAATCACCATCCTTCAACTGAAATCCTAGATATGAATGGCTCATTTTCCTGAATGTTTATTGAAAATAATAACTCCAACAAGTTTAATAAGAAAACAAAACCAAATTAAACTAAAAAGCAAAAAAGAAAAAAAAAGAAAAACCCTTTCTCCCTGTCCCTCCAAATGTAAGTGAAACTTTACTGTAGGGCAAGCTTAGAGAAATAGTAGTGACAGAGATTATTTCTTCGGGTGTACGTGAAGCTGTCAACTCAACATTCCCACTCTTCTGACCTTTTTTACAAGCAAAGCGTATGTACTGCTGCAGGCCGAAGGCGATACATATAGAACCAAACAGTGCAAGTGTTACCTCATTAGACATATCTTCCAGCTTGTTCTGGTAAGCTGTCAAGGTAGACCTCAAAGTCTCAAGGACAGAGAGGCTCGGAGGTTTATCTTTGTCCTTACAAGTGCCTGAAGAAAAATACAGAATGAAAATTAAGCCTTAAAGCCACAGAGAGAAAACTACTCACCCTGGATGAGAGGTATTAAAATTAGTTAGGGCTTCAGTGACAATACAAAACACTGAACAGCAGCCTTGTTAGCCACAAGAGATGTAGCTGAATAGCCATACTTTCACAGCAAATACAGCTGAAAGACATTTGTATAAAAGCTTTAATACAAGATACAGAACTGTAAATTCTGGATTACATTTCTACCTAATGTATTTGGCATGTAGTCTCACATAATTTCTACTGTGGTCAAGTCTGTGCATTCAGTCAGACCAGCCAACTTTAAAACTGCACGATAACACACTTTGAAAAACACGTTGCCTGAAAGTTAAGTATGTTACACTTTTCCTGACATTATTTTTCTGTTGTGACTATGCATATTATAATGTAGTACTTCATTTACTCAAACCTTTACCAAGCCAAAGATCACATGACTATGTTTTGCTTGGAGAGGTCTTAAAAACCTTTTAAATGATCTTGAATTTCATTCCAAAGGAAATAATAAAAAAAATTTATTATCTGTCTGCAGAGTCCTACATAACGTTTCAATTATAAATCTTAAAGCTGATATATCCATTATATACACACTACACTTATTTATTAAACCTTTAGACAGAGACTTCTGATCTGGCTGCCTTAATTAGGGACATATGAACAAGTTTGAGCATTCCAAAGCCCATAGTACAATGAGCTAAGAAAGCAAAACAACACTGTATTGATCAAGAGGTCACAAGATGTCAGCTGATATTAAATTTCCAAGAACAAACTATTCATTTTTTTCTGGTGTTACAGCAAAATACCAGGTTATTGAAAGATTCTTCTTCTCAGCATTATTTACATTAGTACGCAGCATTTATAAACTTATTTTGTAACAAATTATAGTATCATCTTTACCACGAGTCTTAAAATGTTCTATAAGCAAAACTAACTTTACCAACACTAACAGCATCCTTATTTTGCAAAAGAAGTGAAAAAATCTGTGGCATTTGAAATCCAGAGAGGCTAAACAATCGTTACTCCCAGCAGAACTAAATTATGATACAGGTGTTTATCACCTCTGAAAGGTCAGTGTCACTAAGCAATTCACCTAGGCTGGCTCATAAAGTCAAACCAAATACTACACTCTAAGCCTCTTCTTTGGCTCTCCATAAAATTTTGTCAGCTAGAGGAGGTGCACTTACAGACTTTCAGGTTGGTGTTTTGGGGTTTTTTGGTTTTGTTTTTTTGGTTTTGTTTTTTTGGTTTTTTTTTTGGGTTTTTTTGTTTTTTTTTTTAAGAATCCTATGCTTAGTATTATCTAATAAGCATGGCATTCTACTCAAAGCATTATACAAAAATGATAATTTGTCCTGTAGGCTATGCAAAATGCACCAACGGTAGTCAGTGGAAAACTTAAACATAGACACAAGTTGGAAAGTATTGTCAACAGCTGTTCTGAAAACTTTTTCAATTAATTAGCCTCTTTTCTTCCAACCTTTTGATAATACCAGAAAGCATAGAGTACTATTCAGATTGGACACTAACTTTTCACTTTGACTTGCCAGCCAGCAGTTACTGTCAAAGTCACACCTAGTCAAACGAATGCTGGTTTGTAAGATCACCTTCAGTAACAGCAGCAAGATCTGCTCTATAGCTCACAAGTGAGTTTAAAAGGAATGCACGTCCCAGTAACAGACTTCTGCTCTGTCCTACCGGCCACTCCAGTGGACACCTATTTACCACAGTTTCTAAAGGTCTACAGTCAGGGAAAAACAAAATCTTCCTAATGAGACTCTAGTGCCCTTAACCAAACCTCTGAGTCCTAGAGATGTCCCAAATAGCAATGTTACACTTAGAATCAACCCAAGAAGAATTCATAAAAATCTGACCTTTTGTGAGAAGTTTAGACTTCACATTTAAGAAAGAGACTAGTAACATCTTACTATCATTTTTATCACTTAACCACGGCTATAGTTAAGGATGCACAGGGCTCCAATCCTATCTTCTCAATTACAAGAGTGACTTCTCACTGCTACCCGTTGTAGGAACATTTTGCAGTGATCTTGTTGCATAGAAGAAAAAGTACTATTCTTCCATACCTCTAGCTCTAGAGAAGTTTTAACTCACAATTCTCATTCAGTTAAAAATAATACCTATTAAGTCACTCTAGGGGTTGTCTTTCATCCCCTGGTTTTCATCAAGCCGTCTAAATAATGGATCTTCATTTCTAAAGTCCCAACCTGCAATGCTGTCACTGAAATATGCCTCTGAACTATCTTAATTTACATCATATTTGCCAAAACCAGACTTTTGCCAGTAAACTTTCCATGCTGGCATTCCTCGCCTTTGCTGCAACCCTATTTTCTAGGCAGCTCAGTCTGCCAACAGAAATACCAGATTCCACCTTCCTGCACTAGCTGAAAAGAAGCCTATGGCTTTTATACAGGCCAAACATTGTCTGTCTTTATACAACTATGCAGGAGACGTGCAACATAATCTAAACGGCACTTTCTTGCTGGAGAGGCTCTACTTCATCAATGAGGGGGAAAAAAAACCAAACAAACAAACAATACTTGAAGCATTTGCCCAGTATCACCTAAGAGTTTGGGGGAAGAATTTTTGAGAAAATGTCAGGTTCAACAGGAGTCTGACAGGAGGTATACAAGTGAGTAAACTCTTAAACTCGCTGCTTCAGACTTTCTACTAACGGTACTGAGCCTGGCTAGGACAGAGTTAATTTTCTTCATAACAGCTCATATAGTACTGTGTTTTAGATTTTTGACCAAAACAGTACTGGTGGCCAGCATTAAAAAGTGACACTAACTCAAAGAAACTTACAGTCTTAGGACTTTATACTCAGTTCACTTTTTTTTTCAGATTACTACAACGACAATTTTTTTCTTCCTGAAATGAAGACAACCTTCCCTGAGCACAAACCTTACTGCTGAATAACTGCAAAATATGATAAACTGAACAGGGACAAACTGAAATCATGCAAATTGCTCAATAAGAATAACAACGCTGTGGAAAATTTATAAGGGTCACTTAAAAAGGAGAAGACACGGATTTACGCTTGTTATTTTGGAATGTATAAAGAAAAAAACTTTTAAAAATACCTCTGTTTTTATTCTTAAAAATATAGTCTTTTCTTCTTGTTCCTGTATAGCCCAATAATCACAGCCCAATCAGCACTTAAATAAAGGGGTTGGACCTCTAATATTGACAGATTTTTAAGTAGATATCTCAACCACTTGAGTTGAAAGTTAAAAACAAAACCAAGAAAGACCGCCCAGCCAGCTGTGGCTCACGCAGCCTCTCATCGGCTAATTAGACTGCAAAGATTTATTTAAGATTTTTACTCTTATTGGCACCTAGGTATTCCCATATCAAATATGATTACATTAAACATGTTTTTGCAAATTAAAATACATACTGTTACATAATAAATTCATAAGTACAACACAGTAAGGCAATAGCATTAAAAATTTAAGTTTCATACTTAGAAGCATAGCAAATATGTACAACAAATGTCTTGGTCAATGTTCATTTTAATATTAGCCATAAAGACTCAATCCACAGCAGAGCCAAATTTTACTTTCTGCCTCAACTGAGCCTCTGCAGTGATGCTGAAGCTTAAAAAAAAAAATCTCTTCAAATAAGATCTTTCAAAGTTTACTTTAAAGAAAGCAAGTTAATACTGAAGTTACTCTTACTGAATCCCTAATATTATAGAAACAGGCCAAAGCTGTTCTCCGCAAAATTTACCACTAGGGAGAACAGAAAACCTACCCAAAAGACAATTACTGCTTTGGAAACTGCACTTTGGCAGCAGCATCCAGCTCCCCCCAGAATTGCTGAAGACCCTCTGGGCATGTGGAACTTTGCAAGACTGAGGAAAACGTACAGTTTTGAAGAGCTTTTCAGTCGACATAACTACAGTAAACCTACAGGTATTGCCCACAGGAATTACATATATAATTACAGAATAAAACTGATACCAGTTTCCAAATTAAAAAAAAAAAAAAAAATCATATAACCCATGTGAGGAAATCAGTACATCACAGATTCATGGCCAGGTTTTTAAGGACAACAAAAATCTCAAGAAGTTCCTTTATTCAATTACAACAGTACCAGGTCCTAAAAAAAAAAAAAAAAAAAAATCTTTTTGTGAAGATATTAAAAAAAATGCATCTTCCTTTAAAGGTGTTATACGACCCATTTATGTCTACTGTTGCTAAAAAGGACAGAAACATATCATTGCAATTTACATAAAATAAATCTACTTGCTCTTTAAGCAACATTTTGCCTGTTTTCTTCCAGTTTACTTGAACTGTAAGTTGGAAGCATTTTGTGTCTAGTATGTGATTTTCTAACAGGAATTGCATAGAGAGAACTTGTATAGACAGTTTTAAATTAAGATTTTAAAAACTGTACAATTTTCACCTTTAAAAAAATTACTAGCTTTGATGTTAAAGTTCAGTTTATGTTAGCCACTACTTCAAATGCTTAAGCAGGCAGCAGTTTGTTGAGTTTGATACAATAATTATGCATAAAGCTAGGTAGCAGAGTGACAACCACTGACTTACAATTAATTTTAATGAAAACAGAAATATTTGTTCTGTGTTAGGTCAAATGAATGCAATATAGTACTAGTTCACAATCAACAGTAAAAAGTATTGTGTTGTATTATGTGTCCTACACAACCTTTGTGAATATATGACCTTTAAGTTGCTGAAGGTTGCCTCAGAATTTGGCTCAGTTCAGGCAAAACATCTGTTCCCTTTGCAGGTATACTGTAAGGACTTTTTTCTCAGTTGGATTTAGAGCACAGCAAGTGAGCCCTTTTCTGACCGATCATATACACCCCAGCATTTGTAAATCAAGCTCTCGGCTGACAACAGCAGGTCCACATTCCGTCACCCTTTCTCAGCTAGCAAGGCCATTTGACTGCTGTGAGAACTGCTCTTATCATGTCATCAAATCAAAGCATGTTGAGAAGAGGGAATGCAAGAGGCATCTGCAGAATTCCCACAATGTAGTGACTTTGGAACATTGACAGATGCATCTGTCATTTTATACCTTCAACTAACCTGCTGTCCGCTGGCCTGACATAGCAAAGCTGTCCAAGAGTAACTCCAGCTCTCTCATGTTGTTTTCATACGTCTCTGTTAGAAAGACCTGGTGTTTCTTGGCCTTTATTTGACAGGAGATACAGACAAGACAAGAGGGGGAAAAAAAGAAACCCATTAAAATAGTAAATAAAAGAAATACAAATCACAATGGTATTTTTGTTCCCCTTTACATTTAAATCCCTGCTATATTTCTTGTTACTCCTTTTCTTGAGACAAGAGACCTAACATAACATCACAAATAAGTAACACAGAACACTGAAACACACTTAAAATAGAACTAAAGGCTTCAAGTAGTCAAAAGAAAAAGAAAAAATGGTTGTACTAAAACCTAGTCTTGATCAACTTCTTTTAAAAATATCTTAATGAACATTAACTGCTGCCCATCTATGCAAGCAATGAAATCTATTGTTACACCCTGCAAGGGCATCCAGAAAGACACCAAACTACTGGCAGACAGACTAGAAATTCATGATTTGGCACTCAGTCAAATCCCACACCTATTCTCATTGCAAACCTGCCTACTTTAGTTGTTAGTATCTTCCATGCTTGATAGCGACTTCTTCAATATCAAAAACTCCTCCTTATGCATGGAATATAAAGCAGCAGAGTCCTTCAGCTCCTATCACTGAATTATCTTTAAAAAAGCTGTTCACTAAGTACAGCCTATTGTTCAAGTCAAGACACTGGCTTTATTCTGAGGGCAGAAAGGTATTACAGCAGATTTTTCAATTGCTACAATAGAAAGACTATATCAAGTCATTCCTTCAATTTATATCTGATATTAAAACTTGCAATTTTCAAAGACATGCATCCATAATTCCAGACAAGACCAAGGTCCTCTTGGACATATGTAGTTCTGACTTCTCAAAGAAATGTACAATTTTAGCAGTTGAGTGACAAAAAGTAATACATCTCAGCAGTTTAGAAAACAAAAAAAAAGCCACAAAAATCCTCCCAAAAACCCACCCCCCCAGCAATCCCTCCCCCTCAAATCAAGATGAAACTAGATTTAAATAACTTCACAATTTTCTTATGACAAAGGTTATGCTCAAAGATGTCTCATTACTTTTAATTACCCAATTTATTTTTATTCTAAATTCTAACACCTATTTGAGTAATTTCCATTTCTACTTGGTGATGGAAGGTTACTGTTTTTGCATTGAGAAAAATCCTACTGTTTTCTATCTATGTATACACTATTGCTTTAGTTATGCTTCACTGAATGTGTAAGTATCCAGTCAATTTCTCAAGTGTGGTAAACATCCTCCCCAGAAAAACTGCTACACACTGGTAGCATATAACTGTCAGACTAAAAAACCAAGAAATACATTTAATTCTCTGCAGTGTTCTGCACTATTCAGTTTAAATATTTTATAAATTTGCTTTACTCTTTCTATTTTAATTATATCTACTGTATATCAACTAATATATTATTCATATGTGTATTTCAATGTTAGGCCCCCTGTAGCATTTACACCCCTTTCCTTGTGTGAGAGTTTGTACTACACTTCATAAAGAATTTCCAAACCACTTCTATATATCCAAAAATAACTCTGTTTTAATGTGTACTCTATAAAATTATCTACAAAATAGAGTTTGTAATTGCTGAGCTCCAGTAAAAATGTTTTATGGGATGGAAACGCATTAAAATAATTTACTCTCATGTACTGATACAATCTCAAAGACTTCACATATTACAAATAAGAAAATATTACAATATGATCAGCATCACAATAAAATAAATACTCTTTTTATATAAACCACTCCAGCACAGACAAGGTCAGACTAAATCTTCCCAGAAAAACCTTTTCCCATGGAGAAGTCAAATGTGAGAATTTTTTTCATTTGGTTTAGTTAATTTACCACAATTTAGTCAGTATATTCCAATCTATTCAGCCTTCACCTCTTCTCTGTGCTTTATTTGCTAACTGCAACTACAATCCCTAAGCCAATTTCAGTCTCTTTCTCAACAGCAATAAAGATCAAAAGGAAATTCCTCAGACTAGCCAGTTTCTGTACATTTCAGCTGCAAAGTATTTAGTATCCTTCCTTTTTAACTCCCATTTTCAATCACTGTCCCCATTATCAGAAATGGAAGAAAAATACCGTAAACTACAGTGCTGGAAATCCAAGCACAGGTTAAGAGTCCAAAAGGGTCTGAACATATCAATCTAATTTCTTACATCTCACTGACAGGTATCCAATAAGAACGTTTAGAGTCATAAAATCATGGAATAATTTAAGCTGACAGGATCTCTGGAGGTCATCTGGTCCCACTCCCCACTCAAAGCAGGGACACGCTTGAAGTCAGGTTAGGTTGCTCAGAGCCTTGTCCAGTCAAGTTTTGAGTATCCTCAAGGATGGAGTTTCAAAAACCTCTCCAGGCAACCTGCTCCAATATCTCACAGTCCTCACTGGTTTTTTTTTCCCCCTTACAGATAATTAGAATTCCCTTTCTAAATCTTCTGTTTTCTCTCATACTTTCACTGCACAGTTCTAGCTCCATCTTCTCCATAAGCACCCATTTGATAGTTCATGGAGGTAGCTATAACGCCCTTAGTCGTCTTCTCTTCAGTCTGAACAAAGAGAGCAAGTATACATAACTCTTTACTTTGAAAAGGAAAATGGGAGTCCACAAGAGCAGAAGTCAAACATAATCAACTGCAACTGCTGGAAGATATCTTCTGCCAGATCCAGCTATTCTAGGGATGAGACTACTTCCCTCTCAGCAACTCCATCCACCATCACATCTGTGCTAGGGATGCTATTCCTGTAGAACTACTGGAAAGGTACTGGTGTGAATGTTCCCTAGATGACTTCAAAAGGTAAATTGGGTGACAAAGTGCTAAAGCCTTTACTTAAACACAGTTTGCTTCCCAGACCACATTAGTAGAACCAGGTAAAAGAACACTTGTAAAGTAAGCCTTCTGCTAACTTTGCTTGACTTCCTGCACCTCAGGATGGGCCTTTCTTGACCTTGGAGGTGATCCTTGAAAATGACCTTGAAAATGAAAGGGAGCAGGAGACCTGTACAGATGCACAAGGAGCTCCTGACTAATTTCAATTTTTAACAGGAAGCATAAAGGAGGTGGAAGCAGGCGTAGGTGACCAGGAGGAAATATAGAGACACTGTCCAAGCATGGAGAGATATGCTTAGGAAAGCCAAAATCCACTTAAAAGTTGAATTTGGCAAGGGACGTGAAGGGCAACAGGAAAGGCTTCCTGAGGTACATCACCAGCAAAAGGATGACTATGCAAAACGTGGGCCTGCTGCTGAATGGAGCAGGGGATCCGGTGACTAGGTTGCAGAAATGGCCTTCTCAATGCCTTTTTCACCTCAGTCTTTACGGGTAGAACCTGCCTTCGGGAATCCCAGGTCCCTGAGACCAGTGGTAAAGTCTTCTTGTGATGTGTACATAAACACTTGAGAATTTAAAATTCTTGAAATATATTAGGAGTATTTCCTATACCCCCCAAACACAATTCCCTCCCTCACAAAATATTCAGAATAGGAGGCTAGAAACCAAACAATATGGGAGCAAACTCATACTTTCTGAACCCAGACTATATGCTGAATTGTAGCATATACAATGCTTCCCCCCAAGTCAAACTTCATATCCTTATGAAGGCTCCTATTATCACAAAATATCCCTTGAGGACAAAGTAATTTTTGGTAGAAAAATCTGTTTGGCAACATATTACTTAACCATCAACTTTAAAACGCAACCACACTTTTAAAGAAATTAAATAGAAGCCAAGTATTTTTCCTTACAAGTACTGTAGGCTCCAGCCAAGAGAAAAATCTTTTTTCCAAATGCTTTGTATCCTTATCTGTAAGGATAACCAGAATTATTAGGAAAACCTACTACTTATAAAAATTATTCCACCCACTGTCAGAATTATAATCTTCCAGAAGCAGGGTATTTGCATCTATCTGGGCAATTCCCTATTACCTTGGCTGCAAAGATATTTTCCTTAAATACCAGTATTCAATTTTGGTATCATTGCATTACCTGTTCCACAGCAGAAATGAAGTCCCATTGATTTTTCAGCATTTTCCAAAAGCTGTTTTGTTGAATAAAATAAATGCAAACTCCACGCACACTTCCAGAATAGCCCACGTGACCTGATGCTGCAAATGTGCATCTGTATCTCGAGGTCAATAACATTTAAAAAAATAAACATGTAGGCAGGAGTTTGAGGCCTTTTCAAAATTAACGTATCAAAACCCTGGTAGTATTATGCAGGGAACTGGGGTCAAGTCCTGCAACGAACTGCCATTATTCCAAGAGGAATTTTCTCTACTTTGTTTATAGTTACAGGGATTTTCCTGTGTGGCTCTCTTGCACATGGACTAATTCACCCACCCGGTCTGCAGTACAAATCCCATCTGGTGATGGCAGAACAAGTGCCAAAGCCAGAACTATCCACACAGCCACCAAAAAGCAGTATGTTCAGGTACTCCTTGAAAAGCATTTGGGTAAATCCTTTACAAAAGCATCAGAATGTTTACCAGGCATAACCCTGGGGAAACCAAATCAAAACATTTATAGGAATAGGCTCCAAATGACTGCTACACAGTTAACAAAAAATGGGGTTTACTTGAGTGATATTCTGTATAGCAGAATAGTAGCACAAATTTTAAGCAATCAAGCATAAATTGCAGTATAAAAAACAAAACCAAACCCTCATTGACAATCTCCCTACTTAGGCTACTATTTATTTTTGCTCAAGTTATCTAACTATTGAATACTTAGAGTTCCTTTATTTTCTTGTATTAGCTAGAATTTTCCGAAGATCCCTCCTATAGAAGGGTCTTTAAAAAGTGTTTAGCCATATGTAAATTAAATACAATTTCTCAAGAAATTTAGTGTCTCAGTTTTAATCATCTGACATAAAATTAATCAAAAATGCTCAAGTTTTATATGGAACTATTCTAGTTTCCTGAAGAGAGATTTGTAGCAACGTTTTGGTGGGAGAGGGTGTTATGAAGTATCTCTGAGTTTTGGGGTTTTTTATTAGTCAGAGAAAATTTTTCAAGAACTGGCAATTTTAAAAGCATTTTTTAGGTGCTTGTCTTCAAACACTGGGACATCACAGCTTGAGTGACCTCTCTGCTTCCAGAATAAATTACAAAATTGGTTTCTTTGTAGAAAATCATTTAAGCATATGCTTCAGAGTGCTTGGTCTTCTTAAATTAAGAAAATAACAGAAGCAGCATCTGGGTGGGAACACTCCACCCCTGAGTTAAGGCAAGCAAAACAAGAATGAAGGTAACATAACATTTAACAATCATTAGCACAGAATTAATGAAGACTGCATCTCAGTTTTTTTAAATTGAAAGGAAAAGCTCTGTTCACAATAAATCATCTAGATCAGATTTACATCTTTGCCATTGAGTACCACATTCTACTCCATAGAATTTGTAGAACAGAATCATAATCTTCAGGGTGTTTCACTGTCTGTTCAGTCAATACTTAAGACACTTGCGTTAAAGAACAATGGTTAATGCCTACGTCCAGGAACCAGATTCTCAAACACTTGTGTTCTGTCTTTCAGCTTACAATAACGTACAAGGCTATTACAGACAGCCAAGATGTATACAGCACATGACTGCATGCATGGCTGTAAGAGAATGATTTATATGCCACACAGAAAAAGACAGGCTCTGGGTGTAATCTGTTACACTACTTACACGCTAATTATGCTACTCCTGATAGTATCTACACAAAGGGAAGGAAATGAATACACAGTTCTTCCAAATTAAAGGAATTTATACTAAAATATGCTATTTTTAATGACTTCAACTTCCTAATATGCATTCTGGTGAATTGGCAAGTTCCCCAATACATTTCTCATAAAATAAAGGTTCAACGTCTCCCGCTTGACCGGTACTAAGAATCATCCACTACTAGGTTCCAGAAATTTAAATATCCTGAGTAACTTTTAAAACTATTAGAGACACCTTTTATTCTTTCCATGGGGCAAAAATACAGCTGGGGCTGTTTCAGTTTAAAACAAGTTCTGAATCACAATGGCTGTTCTTCCAAATTCCTATTCTTCAAGCTAAAAATTTCTAACCCTAGCTGGAAATTCCTATTCTTCAAGCTAAAAATTTCTAAAAACCCTAGCTGGAAATAATGATAAGCTTGAGACCAATTTCCTCAGAAAAACATAATGGAAATCTTGAGAGCCTGCTCATGCTGAACATTAATAAGCAGTTTTGTTTGATACCAACAGATCCTATCACATTTGATCCATGCAGATTTCTGGCAAACTTCTGCCACATGCTGATATTTAAAATTAAAAGCAGCATAACTACTTTACTATACATTCAACTGAGCCATAAAAGAAAAAAGTGCTTTTTCATATAAAGTTTCCAAAGAATGTATTTTGTCCCTGCATAAGTCTGCTTCTCCAAAAACAAAAGAGCCTTCGCTGGTTTGGTTATATTTCCCAAATATTTTACAAAAACCTTAACTTATATTATAGCAGTAAGTGAGAAACCAATAGAAGATTATCAGACTGGAGTGGAAAGGACATATTTGGGATGTCTAACAATAGTATAAAATATAAGAAAGTAATTAATAGATCAAGAAAGCAGGAGGGGGAAATGAAGGGAAGAGAACACACTGCCATTTTCACACAATTTTAGTATGGGTAGAGGGAAGCCTAATAACAGTATATGAAATGTCATCTATACTTATTTTCTGCTAGAGCCTTCTGCTTTTTCATTTGGGGAAGAAAAATAACAAAAAACTGTCCAGACTGAGTAAACAAGACCACACACAGGCACTCCTGCTTCCCAAACAAATACAAAAGTCTTCAGGAAAAATACAAAGCCATCCAAGGTGATAAAAATCTAATCCCATAGGAGACCACTAATACAACCCCTCAGAAAATGAGTATTTTTATTACCTGTTCAAGACAGACTTGCGGTTTGAAATCGTTCCAGTAAAACAATTAAAACAACCGTTTCTATGAATAAGACAGTTCTTTTAACTGAGATAATCTATTCTGCTTTTTACCTTTCAGTAATGTAAGGTTCATATTGAGTACACTATTTAATACTGTTGCCATTACCAGAAACCTTGATCATGAACAGAATTTTGTCCTGAATTCTTGTCAGGTATAACATACATTTTACAAGGGAACACAAAACAAAAAGGAAAACTCATATCACAGCAACAGCTAGCAAGCACTCAAGGTTCCTAGCAGAAATTTTTCAGCCTGGAATTGTATTTTATATTAATAGCAATCATTACTGACTGTAGTTAGGGGAGACAGCTGCATTTGTCTCTTCATATTCCTTTTGTGCCTGATAAGATGACTTTTTCAGGTTAACTAGGTCAGCAAATGCATTTTAATACATTAATGCTTGCATGGAAGAAACTGTGATTCTCCCAAAAGGAAGAGGGGTTTTTGATTTGATTTTTCTTCAATTTATTACTTATCAATCTGTCTGGGAAGTGGATAACACTAAGACAATGTATGGAATAACTCCATCAACTGAACAGAAGCTATCAACAAGTCTGAAGATCCTCTGATGCAGGTCTCTGCTCCTGCTCACTGATTAGCACAACACCTGTAAGCAGCAGGGAACAAACCACATTTACTTTCCATACTCACAGCTCCAAGAGAGAGAAAGAAGAGAAATTTGCAAGCCAGTATCAAAAAGTTTACATTGGCTAAGTACAGAAAAACTGCAAATGCTACTACACAATGGAAGGAGGGGTTTTCTAGATGTCCTAAGATCTTTGCTTTGTCCCTGCTGCTATGCAACAGGATGGCAAAATTGTTTTTCAAAGTTGAGTTGGGTAGAGACAATGGGAAAGGCCCCAATTGGTCATATAAAAGCAGAAAGATTTCAGAAAATAATCCAGTAAAATACATCCAACATGACGAATCCACACCAAACAAAATTCCCTCTGCTTTGTCACTTTCAAACAAGCAATTTTCAAGCAATTTTTAGTCAAATGCTTGCACTAAAAACAAAATGTTATGTGAAATAGAAATAAACAAGCCTACAATGGTAGTTAATAAAGCTTGGAGAAGAAGAAAGCTTGGGTAGAAAGACAGAACATCCTCCACAAGGAATCATAATCCATATCTACAAATTGCCTTCTTCGCTAGGAATGCAAACACAAGTTACTCTTTACTCATAGCCATACTTTTAAAATAATTGTTTTCTGCAAATAATTCTTCAGTTAAACACACGGTATATCACTTAAAACACATTTTTTAATTAGCTTCTCCAGTATATCAGCTATATTTACTCATGTTTTACAAAACAAAGTAACATAAGTAAAACCAGAGTAACACAAAGGCAGAGTTCTTCCACAGCTCAGCACAGCAAATGCAGATGATGTTCACAGTATGCTTAAACCCTAAACAATGAGTGCCACAGGCCTTTTGTCTTACCATTGCAAGTTCCCCCTGTAATTCTCTGCAGGTTTTTTCATTATTCTGTAGTCTCTCAGAGAGGTCTTTAATTACCTTCTTCTTCTCCTCAATCTTCTCATTCATTTGCTTGTTTGTGGAGAAACACTCTCTTTCTAATCTGGAAAGTTTCAGCATTAGAATATTTTTATGAAAAAATACTTTTGTCAAGTATACTACATACTTCTAAAGATAATTAATGGATATGGCACATATCATGTTAGCACATCATAGGGCTTCTGAAGTTGCTTTCTTTTTTTTAAACTGAAGAAAGTTATATATTCCTTCTAAGAAAGGCTTTTCAAGAAGTGGTTATGCTCTTTTCAGTTAGCAATACTTGTGTTAGGCTTTCAGTCATAAATTCAGCTGGTCATTTGGATATGGCCTCCAAATTACATATAATAAACAGAATTAATCATATTTTAATTAACACAGTAGGTATCTTCAGAAAGACCATGTCACATCTTGCATAATCAACCCTGATTTCAAGTACAAAGCTTGCTCCTAAAGTTTCCACATACCTGACTATATTCTACTCAAAATGCCATGAGTTCAAATTTTTCCACCAGCAGACTGTTCTCAAAATTTCAAACCGTTCTTGTACTATATCAGTCCTCCTGGTACTCAGGAAAACAGATATATAAAGAGCCTGGTATGGCTAAATAGGCAACTCGTGAGAAAGCTACAAGGCCAAACAACAGCATACAGAAGACAGAAGCAGGGACAGGAATCCAAGGAAGAACTTAGAAAGATTGCCTGAGTATGTAGACATGGTGTCAGGAAAGCCAAAAGCTTACCTAGAATTGATGTTTGCAAAGGATGACAAAGACAACAAGAAGAGATTTGACCACTGTGTTAAGGCAGGAAAGAAAACATGGACCTGCTTCTACACAGACCAGGTAATTTACCAACAGCAGACACGGAGAAGGTCACCACACTCAATGCCTTTTTTGCCTCAGTCTTCCCTGACAAGGTCTCCCAACCCTCTATGATCAGTAAAAGGGCCCAAAGAGGAGAACGATTGCTAGTACTACATGAGGATTGAGTCTGGGATGAGTTGTAAGAACTCAACCCATAGAAACTGAAGAGGCCAGGTCACCTACACAGCTTCTGACAAAGCTGGCCAGTATCACAGCGAGGCTGCTCAATGATCACAGAGACTGGGGGAGGTCCCTGGCAAATAGAGAAAGGCAAATGTCACACCTATATTGAGAAAAGGGCAAAAGGACAAGCCACGGAACTATACACCAATTAGCTTCATTTCGGTCCCAGGAACGTCATGAAGCAAGTCCTCTTGGAACAAATTTCTGGGCTCATGAAAGAAAAAAAAGGTGATTGGGAACAGCCAGTGAGGATTTACCAAAGCTAAATCATGTCTGGCCAATCTGGTTATATTCCATGTTAAAATGACCAGATCTGTGGACAAAAGGAGAGCAAGTAGATTAAATGCAACTCAACTTTAGCAAGGCTTTTGGCACTGTCTCACACAGTGTTTTTATAGCCAAGTTAAAACTTCAGTCTAGATAAGTGAACATTGATAAAAATGGTTTGATGGTAAAGCTCAGATGGTAGTGGCTGGTAACAAGTGGAATACTGTAGGAGTCTGTATTAGAACCTGTTTAACATCTTTATCCATCACCTGGATCAGGCCAAGAGTGCAATCTCACCAAGTTTGCACATAACAGTGAACTGGGTGGGGGTAGGTCACGACACAACACAAATTACACACTCAAGAGAAGGGCTGCCATTCACCAGAACCTAGACAGGGAGAAGGAACAGGCTAGCATGAACCTTCTGAGATTCAACAATGACACATGCAAAGATCTGAATTTAGGAAGCAAGAGCCCCCTGAAGCGGTTTGGCTGGTAACTGGCTGGGGAGCAGCTATGCTCAAAAAGGACCTGGTAATCTTGGTAGACAGCAACCTAGCCACAAATCAGCAGCATGGCACGCAAGTAGAGATAGCTAACGGCACCCTGATCTGTATTAGTAGTAGCATAGCCAGAAGATTGAGGGAAGTGACTAATCACCTTTTATTTGGCACTCTTTACAACACATCTAGGATAATGACCAGTTTTAAGCATACACCTCCCCCATAATACAGGAAAAAAAGTTGGAGTGAGCTCAGGGGAGGGCCACCAACATGGTCAGGGGCTGAAGTACATATAAGAACTGGTATGTTCAGGCTGGAGAAGAGATAACATTAGGGTGTATAACAGGCCCTCCAGTATCTAAAAGGATGTTACTGACAAGATACAGCCAGTCACCCACAGCAATGTATTGCTAGAGGACAAGAGACAACAGTCACAAATTGAATCCAAAGAGGTTTGGAGAAGGAGAAACTTTTTCCACCTTAATGACAGTCAAACAGTGGAACAGGCTCCCAGAGAGGTTGTGCCATCTCCATTCTTGGAGGTTTTCAAGACCTAACTGGATGAAGCCCTGATCTCACAGCCCATCCTGGTTTGAGCAGATGGCTGGACTATAGATCTCCGGCAATCCCTTTCAACCTGAACTATTCTTTGATGTAACTCTTAGCAGCGGGAACATCCAGGTGTCTCTCACTTCTTTATCTCTTCTCCTATCACTTCTGTCTCACTAGAATTGAAAATAATGCAAAGAGCTTAAAGTTCTTCCAACTTCGAAACTTTTGAATCAATATTGTCACTTCCTGACTTCCGACTTATTTCTTATAGATCAATGTATCTTTTTCACCAGACGACTTTATCAGTCCTTCAAATACCTATGTGCTTCTGCTTCAGACTGGCTGATTTCTTTTCTTTTAGCTCTAGATGGTTACTTCCTATTCTTAGAGAAAGAACTTGCTTGTCTCAGTGCCCCAAAGTAGCTTCTACTCCCACAGCTTTCAAGAATACAGCAAAAGCAGTTCAAATTTATTCTATGTCATGCTCTCACTCTTCAAGAAAAGTAAATTCACACAGAGACCTAAATCCCATGTTGCTTCCAATTTACATAGTGCTACTGGGTTCAGAGCTAATTAATAAATTATGCAACCCAGAAAAGCCTGTTTGCTTGGTTTCAGTTATTACAACCATCTTTTTCTCAGAAAATAAATTCTCACAGTTTTGTATAGCTTCCAACGTTGGTATCATTTACCCTACATCAAGTCCAGCTAAAAAGACATACAAGCGTTCTAGCACAACAAATGAAAGTCTCCAAGACTTTCCAAAGACTAAGGCTTAAAGACAAACTCATGGGACTCCTCCAGAAAAAGTGAAAATATGTTAGGATGCCAAATCATGGCTTAAAAGAAAAAGGCACACTCCTGACATTGTCTGGAGTCCAAGGACCCAGCCTTCAAAGGTAAGTAGATCAAAGGCTCTTGTATTCTCTCTGAAGGGATCCGGTGAAAGCAATCACTGATATTCACCAGTGTTACTGATACTTGTGTGCTTCAAAGAATAAAAAAGGCGCAGGAAACAGATGAGGCAGTACATGCCTACCCCATGTAATTACCTCAAGGGAACTGAGTATATTGATGTCCATCTGAGATAAAGCTTGACCTTCACTACCTATCTTTATGGAGCTCCAGAAATTTAGGTATCTGGACTAACAAAGACTCACATCTCTGTCACTAACTTAGTGGAGTGTAATTTGCAATTTCTAAATGGTTACAAAAAATACAGAGTTGTTGCAAGAGTGCTCACATTCAACACCTAAAGGGACAGCGGAGCTCCACATGGTAACGACTGGACAGCATTATTCCATGTGCAGGCAGTACTCCACTTAAGACTACTTCTTGACATAAAAGGTCTTTGCTCATCTGACGAACTAATATAATTCACAGAATGAAATGCTCTGACAAACTCTGTTTGTTAAGGAAACTTAAGTGCACATGCATACCACTTTGGGGGACTGGGACCTAACGTGATGAAATCAACCAATCGAAACTCTTCTAAAAATTTTAGGTGAGGAACTCCTATACTTTATGAACTTTCTGTGAGGCCAAAAGGAATCTTCATGACACGAACTTGTACTAAAAATTACTACTGAGCACAGATATCTAAGATAAAACACCTTATAGCAACATGAATATAAGAATTTGTTAAAATAGAGAGGAGTACCTGAGAGAACAGTTGTGATGAAAGTTAAAAAGAGCAACTGGAGGCAGACAAATAGAAGCATTAAAATGCCAAACGTACTAGAAACCCTGAGAATCAAATTGTTCTACCAATATGTAACTCCAGTGTAAAGCATTGAACTCCTTTCAGGACCTAGTATGTTTGCACGATGTGTGTTTTACATTTTTCGTGCATATGTAACACTTGAATAAGTTACTGTATTTTTAAAATTAATTTATGCAGAATTCATGACTCCACATTTATTTCACATCAAATAATAAAATCAGAACAGGCAACCTTCAGTAATTTTAACCCTTTACTTGTGACCACATCAAAGCCAAACATGACCCATGTGTTCAGACTCACATTCATTTTCTAAAGAGCTATAAAGATAAAAAACAGTGCAGTCCTGCATTTCAAAAGTTAAGTACTTTTGAAAAGTCATAGATATAATTTCTACAAGCCTATTAACTCCCTAGATGGACTGACTGCACCCTTAAATTTGACAGTATCTGTGGTTCATTAATCTCATTACCTTGAACTTCAGCAGCAAAAGCTACAGGTCAGACACACTTGTTTTCTCTAAGAATGCAAAAGACAAAAACAGACATAAGGACTGCTTGTACAATTCAAGGGCTAGTTTTTGAGCTTGGACAGAAACAACAGGAGAAAACTTCCTGAAAATTCCAGAAGGAAGGAATAAATGGTATCTGGAGATTCTTGGAAGGTTAACAGCTCTCTGACTTAGTAAAGGAAGCCACACTATGGTAGCCATGTTGCTGAAAGTGAAGATTATCCACTATAAATTATACACAACTTCTAGACAGAAGTCTTAGATTCGTCTAGCTCCCTGAAGTGAAAAGTAATGTTTTCATAATAATGTATGTGTATACAGAAAAAATCTGTTATAAACTTGCCATGTATGTTCTGCACTCCTCCCAAACACTACTGGAGACAGGACCCTATCATAACTATTATTTTCAATATTTTTGCTTTGGCAAACAATCTATAACAGATCAGTTATTTTCTCTACCTACCCATAATGTGTACAGTTACTGATATGGACCTGTTATTAATGGAATGCCAGGTTCTGAACCTTGGCTTAGTTTGGCAAATTGCATCACATGGTGTTGTTTTCTAGTAGCTGAAAACTATAGAGAATGTAAACTAGAATGGCTGTCTACTGCCATTTTACAACGAACTTAAAAGGTAACTTACACATTGAGTTTTTCCAAGTTCTCTTGAGCACTGTGTTTTTCTCTCTCATATGCATTTTCTACCTCTTTGAACTCTTTCTTGATCATTTCTAAATCCGAAAGAGCTTCTGCTTGGCTGGCTTTTTCCACCTGCAAAGCTCCTTCAAGGTCTCGAATTCTTAACTACCAAGTGATAAGAAAGCAATTAAAGCAAGTTAGGAAAAACTATTATGATCTTTAATGCTGTTCTATATTCTGTTCTGTTTTACAGGTAACTATATTCTATTAATTCTATATGGAAGTATATACACAGAAAGCATTGAACACATGTAAAAATGCATGAATACATACAGTTCAAAATGGAGACAAATAGATAAGCTGACCAAAAGCACCATTTACTCTCCTTTAGTGGTATCTGGATTTTTTCTTTTTCAGTTATTACTGAAGTTTTCCAGGGGAATTCTAGTTTTTAAGTAGAGTCAGGAAGGTGTGGGATTAACAGTAAAGGCTACACTTCCACTCAGCACAAAGCACACTTGAAGCTTGTTCATGTATATGAACAAGGAAGAAAACCTTACCAGTCATTCACCCATAAAAGATAACTATCTAACTTTAAGGAATGTTACCCTCCCAGTTCCTTTGTATGTTGTAAAAGTAGGAAAGTAGAGGAAATGAAGAAAACTAAATCTTTCCTGCTTCTAGTTTAATCGTCACTTTAAAAAATTTAAGTGCCTGTGCATAGAGAAGATCATGAGAATAAGAAAATAACTGACTGAAGAATGGTAATACTTATTTTTGTTTCTCAGAAAATAAGAAAAAAAAATTCCTTATTTTGCTTAGTTTTTCAAAAGGCAAGTATGAAGGGCTTGTTAGTTAATATGAGATTACTAAGCAATTGTTGTTTAGCTTTTTCTCGTTTACTTTTTTAAAAAAACATAGTTGCCTTACTGGGTCAAACCCCGTGTGATACAGTTTAATAATACAAAGATTTAATGTTCAAGCATATATACTTTATTTTTTCATCTAATCAATCTTTACTGGTAACTGCAAATATCATAACTTTGTTTGAAGCTGAAATGTAGTCTGAATAATTGTATTGGGAACTGCAGTTTCAGGATGCATTAAGCTCTGACTCCTAGAGAAGTTGGATGTATGCAGTGTATCTCCAAATAGCTCTAAGTGCCCATTCAAAAGATAACAGGGCAGGATATTTAAACAGTAGCACAGTGCTTCACTGTTGTGGAACAGAGGGATCTGGACAGGCTGGATCGATGGGCCGAGGCTATCTGTATGAGACTCAACAAGGCTAAGTGCCGGGTCCTGCACTTCGGTCACAACAAACCGATGCAACGCTACAGGCTGGGGGAGGAGGGCCTGGAGAGCTGACCAGCAAAAAAGGACCTGTGGGTCCTGGTTGACCGCCCGCTACATATGAGCCAGCAGTGTGCCCAGGTGGCCACGAAGGCCAATAGCATCCTGGCTTGCATCAGGAATAACGTGGCCAGCAGGACTAGGGAAGCGACTGTGCCCCTGTACTTGGCACTGGTGAGGCCGCACCTCGAGTACTGTGTTCAGTTTTGGGCCTCTCACTACAAGAAGGACATTGAGGTGCTGGAGCGTGTCCAAAGAAAAGCAGTGGAGCTGGTGAAGGGTCTAGAGCACAAGTCTTATGAGGAGCAGCTGAGGGAACTGGGGTTGTTTAGTCTGGAGAAGAGGAGGCTGAGGGGAGACCTTATGGCTCTCTACAACTACCTGAAAGGAGGTTGCAGACAGGCAGAGGTAGGGCTCTTTTTCCCGAGGAAAAAGTGATAGGATGAGAGGAAATGGCCTCAAGTTGTGCCAGGGGAGGTTTAGATGGGATATCAGGAAAAATTACTTCACTGGAAGGGTTGTCAAGCATTGGAACAGGCTGCCCAGAGAAGTGGCTGAGTGACCACCCCGGAGGTATTTAAAAGATGGGTAGACGTGGTGCTTAAGGACATGGTTTAGTGGTGGACTTGGCAGTGATAGGTTAATGGTTGGACTTAATGATCTTAAGGGTCTTTTCCAACCTAAACGATTCTATGATTCTATGATTTCCTTTCCCCTCACTGTTTAAAAGCTAGTGGGAATTCTCCAACTTACAAATGTGATATTTTATTTTATTATTTATTCTAATAACTTTAGTTTTCCCTGAAAAGGGGATATTTTTCTTTTCTCTCCTTTTATATATTAGCTACTACGATTTTGACACTTGTTGCAAAAAAACTATTCAGTGTTTTCACTGAAGCAAGTAAGTGAACTTAACATTTTCGGAAGACTGTACCTTTACAACTTCGATCAAATGTTTTATTGTAGACTTCTACAAAATATTTAACAAAAAGTTTACCTGGATGATCTCTGAATTGAATTTGGATTCCAAATGTGCTGCTCTCTCTGCTTCAATGTTTTCTTCCAGTTTCTTTATTCTCACTGTAGCTGCCTAAAAGTACATTTTGAAGAAATTTAAGTCCAGACAGATGGTAAACATGATACAAAGAGTGTTGTGTTCATTCACTGTATTAGGACTCCATACACCAACCTGATGTATCTGAACTACTTGTACTTTGGAACTGTGAGAACTCATACCAAGAAATACATATAAAAATAATTTTTACATATCTAGAATATTAAATTATTCTTTTGTATTTAAAGAAATTGATGTACCATTATGTTATTACTGCATTTTTCACAATCAAGAGAACTGCAGCTGGAGTCAGAAAGCAGAAAGACCAAGTTAAGTATTCTAACAATGCCCTTCCTATTTGCGTTTTCACCAAGGCTGTCACCTGAGGCAACATAACGACACCCTGTATCTTCCAAAATACAATGGGGTATCAATACAGTATCTACAAGTTCAGTGACAAGACAGAGGAACCACAGAGAAGATACAGAATTCCTCAAAAATATGTTGGCTTTGGCACCTAATTTCCAATTAAGGTGCCCAGAACAGATTGAATGTTTTAAAGCACTAACCTAGTATTTTTTTTACTGCTGTGTTCCTTGACCTGTAACTATTCTGTTATGTTTTTGTCTAGCAATTATCAGAACATTCATGATCTCTTTCAAGAAATATCCTGACTACTTTAGTCAGTTACTACATCTCATTACACAGAAGAACACCTGTTCTATGCATGCATAGTTTAAGCAAAATGCAACACCTGTTCTATGCATGCATAGTTTAAGCAAAATGCAATTCTCCGAATTACACTATTGCATCTTTCTTACCCATTCTTACAACTTTTAGAAAAGCACAAAAATGCAAATGACTATGCTAAGAATCTACTTGGAAATTTGGATTGCCTACAAAAAGTTCAAGAAGTAGTCCATATTTTTACTAAAATTTTTAAGCGATCCAAGCTGAAAAAATTTATTTTCAAGTTATAATAAACACAAAAGCAATCACCAGATACATATGTCCAGATAAAGGCCTGGACACAGAATTTCGTCCGGAAAAATACTTTTACCAAAAGCAGCAACTAAAGATCTGCTATAATGGAAATTCACATGCAATTTTAACTGCACTGTTTTCTATCAATAAAATCTTTTCACTTTGACTGATAACTGAATTGAAAAGAAAAACTCATCCTAAATGTCTCCTGGCTCCAACTTAAATCAGGGAGATCAAGAAAAAGGAATTAATATTAGACAGTCATTTAACATAAGCACATTTAAAGTTACATAAATACAATTGAAGTTACTGATTTTGGAAAAGTAAAACAAAGTAGCAAGTATGTGACACTGCACCTTGTTTTTGAATGTTTAAAAGAAGAGACAGACATTAACAGATGTTAAAATAAAAGCTCTTGGCAATAAATTTAAACTTTCTATAATCACACACACACAAAAGGAAAGACTTTTTAAACTGATGTCCATGGAAGGCCTACTAAAGAGAAAAGCAACAACAGCACAGAGCTTACTAAACCCACTCCACAGTAAGGTCTGTCAAAAGGCTTAAACTTTGCCTCTTCCCACGAGTTTTATCTGCATAACATACTTAAAAATATTTACAAATCCTGCACAAACACTCACACTGTACTTCCATACTGCTAAAACTATCCTCAAAAATAGCTTGATTTAGACTCTTAACAGTATTATTCCTTCCAAATATCAGCTCCTACTCCCTTTTGCCCTTAAGGAAGTATTAGCAAACTACCTCCTGCTTCAGTTTGGAAAGACTCCTTCGCATCTTCCAATAGGTTAACATTTGTCAACAGGGTGGTTTTACACAAGAATACTGCCAGCCTAGTAAAAATAGTCAGTGAACTATAAATCTAAGTGATGTGGATTTAATTTCTTTTTTAATAACATTTAAAAAGTCAGCCTGAAAACAATTCTACTTTAAGTTTGAGGAGAAGAATAAAGGAAACAGTAAGGAAGGTACCTATAACAACATATAGAGTGGAAAACGTAAATTAAAAAAAAAAAAAAAAGAAGCAATTGAAACTCCACTGAGAATATTTCACTGCATATCCTCAAGAGCAAAAATGCCTTTCTGTCTTTGGCTGGTTTGTTCAAGCATCTATTCTCATAGCAAACATTGACATGGAAAAAGAAAAAAGTGATTCTGCAAAGTCAAGTTTTTAGGCATAACTTACTAATTCACAAGCTCTGTACTGCATTTGACTTCTAAGTCTTATTTCCTGAGCACCAGTCCAAGGCAGAACTATGCTTTCATCTCAACCTCTCTTCAGCTGAAACAAGAGATGCAAGACACTATCAAAATGGTTAACTTATCCTCTCAAATGGAGCCTCCTAGAACTGTTAGGTTTCATCAGTCCCAAGAAGAAAAATAAAAACAGAAATAATAAATAACAGCTTGAGAGAGGGCACCACAAAAATGAAAAATTGGAGCAATCAGATTCTCCCAAACAGAGCATATAGGTATCAGTTCTTGGTATAGTTCTTTAAAAGTAGAATCTATCTCCTTGAGCTGACACGATGGACACTAACTGCAACGACAACAGACATGGTCCAAAGGAAACACAAACTCCTAGAGATATAGAAACTTCAGTCCTAAGAAAATCCTGGGACAATGAGGGAAGAGAGGCACAAGCAGACACCTGTAAGAAGTGCCAACATATCGCTCTTTTGCTGTCTAAAGTAAGACCAATTCCATGTAAAAACAGATATATTTGCAGATGGTTCATTTGCTCGAGTTGTCACAAGTCACTGAAGAATGAACTTGTAGAATTAGCATGCCTATAGAAAGAGAAGCACTGGGAAAAACTAGTGTTTTTCCCTGATGATCTCTGGAATGTGCAAACAGGCTCCTTATTGCAAGCAGGACAGTGTGCCTAGCCTACTGCAAAAGAGGTATGAACCCTAAGCACCGACCAAAGAAGAGCTAGATGTACCTGACAGGTATCCAATGAAAGTATTCAAAGAGATTCAAGACAGTACGCACAGGAAAATTAAACTAGAAACTATAAATCAAAATATCTGTTTGACAGATAAGTATCATCTTACAGATCATATCCCCATATAAAGGCATGAGAAAATTGACTTGTTCAAAACTGGGGTTTCTTCACAAGGTTAGGAATCTCAACACCCTATTCTTGCTTTTAAAGCTCATCTTTTTCTAGAGTCTGAGTTTTTAAAGCTTTGCCTGATACCAGTAGTTTGTTACAATTTTGATTTTTAAAACCTTGTGTAAATTAGTTCACAGGACCTTCAGAAAACAAAGACCTAGGGAGAGAAATAAAATGTATTTTCATTCAAGACAAGTCACTGTCAGGGGCCTGACAGGAACTGCCACTAGTTTCTTGTATTGCTAGAAGCCAAAGATGAAGAGTGAATTATGTTCTCCTCAAAAGTCTCAGAAGATTACTCAGGTAAACCTTAATCTTAGCTTACCAGTATAAGCAGCTGTCTTACCCAGAAGAGATTCAGACGCTTAAAAGAGCTTGCAGAAAAATTACATATGTAAATTGAGGAATTCACGTAGATGCTGTCTGTGTCTGATGGAGCAATGAATATTCCTTTTCCTGGGCTCTATGATTTCATTGCTGAAGCTTATGGTTCACCATACATCTAGCAAATTTTAAAAAAAGTCAGATGCCAGCAAAGCAGTGGGAACTCAGTGGGAAAACGAAAGCTTCATGGGAGATATCTAACCATCCATTAGCACATAAGCCTTGCTAAGCAATATAGAGTTATTAAATATAAAGAAATTCAGATTTGCTTAGACTGCTCTAAGGAAAAGAATCATGGAATCACTGTTTTTCTAAGTGCACATCAGCCATAGAAGTTGCACCTGGATTCCAAGCTGAGTCTGAAGTTTTATTTGGGAAGAACACAGCTGCAAAAAAAACCACTATAGAGAAAATCTTGTCTATTTTGCTTGTAAAGGTTGAAACAGGCTCTACTGATGATTATACGCACTTCCCTTCACAGTGAGAAGCTGCATGCTCTACCAGTGAGAATGTTCCATTACACGCTCTGTGAGGGAAAGAAAGAAATGTCAGGGATGAGTCTAACCTGTAACACCATACTAACAATTCCAAAAAGAGAAATGGGATGAGGAGAGGAGTTCCATGTTCCTATCTGACAAACAGAAAGACACTGGTACCAGAATCATCTTAGCCAGGCAAACCTCTTTGAATCAGACAAAATGTGAGAAGCAGTATCCTTACTGAACCATACGTGTCCGAAAACTTTACACGATGCCTGTCTAGAAAGAAGAAGCTGTGTGAAAACAAGTTACAGAGAAGGGTTGCAGGCCACAGACATCCAGACCACAGTCCTTCAACTGGGAGTCAAATGGGAATACTTTGTCAGGTCCAAGTCACAGAGCTCAATCTCGAGGATGGATTAGAAAAGCGGTTACAAAGTGTTTGCTTATCCAACATTAAACACATTGGTTATTCAACAAGATTCAGTCACTTGTTACTTCCATAGTCAAAGTGTTTGCTTCTCCGACATGAAAACATCAGTTATTCAACAAGATTCAGTCACTCCTTACTTGCAGGATATATGAAGGCAGACATCTTAAGTAAGATACCACACACAAACTCATGGAATCTCCGAAGTTTCCTTAGATATTCAAGCTGAGTCAATTTCAGTCTTAATTTAAAGAACAAAGATATCTGGGATCTGTTTCCATGATAGCACAGACAGAATTGTGACTTTTGAGAAACAGCAAATAAAAATGACTAAGAAAAACATCAATGCCAGCCTTAGAACTTGTGGGCAACCATGCTGTATGTTTACTCTGATCCCTTAAGGTCCAGTCACTTTTTCCAGTGTCCTGTTGCATGTCAATGCTAATGCGGTTTCTAGGAGACATTTTCTGCATGCTGTCAGTCTGCAATACCATTTTCCAAACTGGCCTTTGTGGCTTCCACTTTTCTCAGACCCTCACACTTGCTCTAAGTACTGCAGTATTCATGAATACTGGGGCACTCCGTACTGAAAGCGTAATTCAGTACCCTATATTTATGG